ATCGCAGATGCATCGGCGAAGTCGGGGCAACGGCGTGTCGAACCCTAAAATCATACCGCATCGCTGCTGCACCAGCGATGCGGCACGATCCTCCGCCCCCGTCAAACTGCTCTGGCTTCGTGCCGGCGGCCCGTTCCTGCCCTCGACGCCGGCCAGCCCCAACCACAGCAGGACTTTCTTGAGAGGAGCAGCTTCGACCTCCTCGGAACCGAGCATGGTTCCCCCCCCCCCAGCGCAACGTTTTAGAGGAGAAGGAGGAACACTGAGGGGACGAAGCGAGAGACGAACACCGTCCCACATGCGCGAAAAGTCCGCAACTGGGCGAAGCCTCAATGCGAAACCGCTCCAAAGTCGCATCGGCGCAGCAGGTGTGGTAGCGAGCGGAGGAGTGGGAAGAAGGAAAGGCGCGAAAGAGCGAGGCACATGCAACAAAAGAGGCAGAGCAAGGCATGATCGCGTCGTGAACAAATCACGACGGGATTGTTTGGGGAATCTTCGGCCTCCGGGGGCTTGCTGGGCTCTGGGACCGTCGCAAAACGACCCAGGATTGAAAAACCAGTCCGGGGGAATGGGTCGGGACTTCCAGGAACCCCGCATGGGATACATCAAAACAACGGGGGTCTGGGGAGGAGGCAACACATGACGAACCGACCGCGAGGCTTGAGATCCCGACCCATTCCCAAGGACCAGCTTCTCATCCTGCATATCGTTTTCGGACCGTCCCCCTGGGCCCCGCCAAGGCCCCCGCATGCAACATATACCAAAAGGCCTCCCGTCGTGATGCTTCCACGGCGCGATCGTGCCTGGGCTTAGGTCGGGCCTGTCCGCCTACAGGCGGATTTCGGACGAAAGATCAAAAATACCCCAACCATGCAAACCCGATTCAAACATTTAAACAATAAATCGTACCCAGACTACTTTTTGACTATTGTTAAATCTTCCCCCTGCAGAGGGACAGGCCCGACTTAATCCTGGGGAGGAGGCACGCACATGACGAGAACCGACCGCGAGCTACGCTCGAAAGGGCGGCCTCACACCAGAGGGGGGGCCCACCGCGGCGTGAGCCGAGAGGGCCCACGCCTCGAACCGAACCGTACTTCAGCAAACTGTCTGTAGCCCAAAGCTCCTCCTCCTCCTCCTCCTCCTCCTCCTCCTCCTCCTCCTCCTCCTCTCCTCCTCCTCCTCCTCCTCCCTCCTCCTGCTCACTCTGCGGATTCCGAACCCCAGGCTCGAGGATCGAGGCTTTCTGGCGCCGCTGGAGCCCTCTCTTCGGCCACCCTCCTGCTCCTCCTCCTCCTCCTCCTCCTCCTCCTCCTCCTCCTCCTCCTCCTCTCCCGCCAACCCCCTTCCCTCCTCCTCCTCCTCCTCCTCCTCCTCCTTCTCCCGCCACCCCCCTTTCCTCCTCCTCCTCCCCCTCTCCTCCTCCTCCTCCTCCTCCTCCTCCTCCTCCTTCCCCCTCCTCCCCATCCTCTCCCCCTCCTTCTGCTAACCTCCACCTCCACTCCCTCCTCCCTCCCCTCTCCCCTCCCTCCTCCTCCACCTCCTCCTCCTCCTCCTCCTCCTCCTCCCTCCTCCTCCTCCTCCTCCTCCTCCCTCCTCCTCCTCTCCTCCTCCTCCTCCTCCTCCTCCTCCTCCTCCTCCTCCTCCTCCTCCTCCTCCTCCTCCCCCTCCGCCTCCTCCCTTCTCCTCCTCCTCCTCCTCCTCCTCCTCCTCCTCCTCCTCGCCTTCTCCTCCTCATCTTCCACGGCTTTCGTCTCCGCCCATTTCGTCGCTGACTTCGTGGTCCTCTTCAGGGTCGGCGGCACCGGCCGTCAGGCCTTCGCAGTAGACACACCCAATAGGATTCTCCATCATTTCGAATATTTCCTGGGTTGTTGTCGTCCCTCTCACTTCCCATATTTTCCTATTTATTTTCTGGGGGATCGAACATGCAAAGTGTCTGTGTGTGTTTTGTTCCCTCCTGCACTGTCTGCAGCCGCGAAGAGGACGAGGAGGGCGGGAGAGGAGCGCAAGAACGAGGCAGACGCCGCAGAAGGGGCAGAGGAGGCACCCAACGACGAACGGGCCGCGAGCTCTGCTTCGGGGCGGCGTGGGCCGAATGGGTTGGCTACGCGCCAGAGCGACCCCATGGCAAGAGTGACCTTTTGGTGCGCGGCCAGAGGGGGGGCCCTTAAGGGGACACCATGAGGCGCGCAAGCCGCTGCCATCGCTTCGCGGTCAGCGATCGGGGCCCAGACAGCCGGCGCTCCGATGCTTTCCAGGCGCGGACCCCCGGAGGTCTGCCTTGCCCCGGGCCGGCTCCTCATCCCGAGCCGTGCTTTGACGGCCCATGGGGCCCGCTGCGGGCCTCCAGAGACCACGTCGCACCAAAACCCGGCCGCTGCAGCTGGTCCCGGCGCTTCTCGGGCCGGGCAAAAAGGGGGGGACAGCAAAGGGGGGGTCTGAGAATCAGCTCACGTAGCTGATTTTCCCGGCGCCTCCCGGCGCCAGAGGCGGCCATGTATCCAGGAATGGGCCCCTCGGTGGGGCCGAAACCAGCTCCATGCAGCAGATTTCGTAACCCCCCCTTTCCCAATCCCCCCCTTTCGTCCGGCCCGAGCTTCGGATCTTCGGTGGGGCCCCGTTGGGCCCGCACCAAAGTCGAGCCCGGCCAGAGGTCACTCCTGCTGTGTCGCCGAGAGGTCCCCCGCGGGCCCCGCCCGCGCGCCCGCCGCCGCCGCGGCCGGAGAGGCCGAGCAGTGCCCCGAGGTGCAGCTATCGCTCCCCCCTGGCGGCAGAACTAGCATTAGGTCGGGCCTGTCCCCCTACAGCAGGGCTGCGGACGAAACATATAAGATACACCAAACATGCCCCGAAAATGCCCGAGACTGGTCGAACCATAGTCCCCAGACTTTTTTGTCGACTATTGTGGAATATGCCTCCTGCAGAGGGCCAGGCCCGACTTCAAGCTATCGCTCCCCCCTGGCGGCATAACCGGCACTCGAACTACCGTAGATTCATTCCCGAGGGGGGCAGGGCAGCCGAGCAACATCGTTCTGCCCCCCCGAGAAGCGCATCACTTCTACAATGAAGGGGCCCAAGGGCACACAAATAATTACACACACAAATGATGACCAGATCCCCCATCTGTTCCTGATATTTTCTGGGTGTTTGTCTTCACCCCCACTTCCCCTATTTTCCAACATTTTCTGTGGGATCGACGATTCATTGTGTCTGTGTGTTTTTCTCCCCCTCCTGCTACAAGTCAGCGCGGAGGGGGGGGAGTAAGAAGAGGCCCGAATGGGGACCCGTTGAAATCGTGCTCGGAGGGGGGGGAGTAAGAAGAGGCCCGAGTGGGGACTCGTTGAAATCGTGCTCAGACTGAGGGGCTCACCGAACAGGGCTGCGCTCACCGAACAGGGCTCGGGGGCCATACGGCATCGCATCACCGAGCAGGGCTGCGCTCAGGACATTGTGCTACCTGTGTCGCCGCCGCGGCCCCGGAGACGCGCTGCACCGTGCGAGCGGACGGCGTGCCGCCCCCGCTCCTCGGGGCGGGAGGCCGGGAGCCCGGGAGCCCCGAATCCGAAACTGTTGCCATCTCTTGGGAGGCTGACTTTTTGAGGAGAATAATTGATCGTGTTGGGAGGAAGGGGTTGGGAGGACGAGGGGTTGGGAGGAAGGGGTTGGGAGGACGAGGGGAGGAAGGGGTTGGGAGGACGAGGGGTTGCCATCTCTTGGGAGGCTGACTTTTGAGGAGAATAATTGATCGTGCTGGGAGGAAGGGGTTGGGAGGACGAGGGGTATGAGCGATAGCACCTGGATGCAATGAACCATACCTTGGGCCGCCTACGCGAAACGATATCCTCACGTCTCCGAACCCCATCCTCTCAACCCGATCATTGTCCTCCTGAACTTTTGCTTCCACCAGCTTCCGCCGAGCTTCCGCCGGCGGACCGCCGCCGTTTTACTTCACGCCGCCCCCCGCCGACCTTCCCTTGCCTTCCGTTGAGGAAGAGATTGGAGGCCTCCTAGATGGGGTCCTAATAGATGGGGTCCATGGATCGCGCCGCATCGCCAAAACATCGCCGATGTATTGTCGATGCGCCGGCGACGTCGGCGATGCATCGGTGACGGCGGCGTGGGGCGTGGGCAAACACGGGCTCCACATCGAGTCGCATCGCCGATGCATCGGCGATGCGGCGCGATCCTCCGACCTCATCTACTCGGACCTCATCTAGGAGGCCTAGAGAGATGACAACTCCTTCCATCCTCGATGGCGAAGCCCGTTTTCCCCAATCAGTGCTTGCGCTGAAGGGGTCCTAGCGGAAATTGAAAGATTTGGCGAAAATGTTCCGCAGATTTTGGTGGCCGGCTGGGTTCCTGGGTTCCCGGTTCCGGGAATCCTGGTCATCGGTTCTGGGCCGATTTCGGTGGTTTCCGGGTTCCCAGAATCCTGGGTTCCCGGTCGATCTCCTTATCGATCCCACGATTCATTATCGATCTTATGATCGATCTCACTATTCACTCAATCGATCTAACCATCGATCTCATCAAACCATTCACTGATTGGGGCTTTTCTCTAGTGTCATTTGGAATGCCTCCACAGGAGACGTGAACCCTCGGCGACCGCGCCGTGGACCGCCGCCTTACACACCGCGCCGACGCGTGGTGCGCTGGGCCCGCCAAAACGGGCGGCGCGACCGTGTAGCCCAAATCGACGGCGTGCCCAAGGGAAACGCGAGACCAACCATCGCTCGGTCGTCCGTTCCCCGTGCATTTTCCGGCTTCGTGCACGGGTGCGCGTTGTTCGCTCGTCACTGCCCCCCCTTGCGCGGGGGAGGGGCCCAGACCCCCCACCGTCCCCCCCCTTTCTCATCGTCGTCGTCGTGCTCCTCCTCCTCCTCCTCCTTCTCCTCCTCCTCCTGGTCTCCACCCCATCGGAGCCGCGATACAGGCTGTGCGGGCAGCACCTCGGCCTCGATCGGGTCGTGCTCGTGAATTTCACGGTTTCCGTGATCATGGGTGTGTTCACGGTGCGTTTCAGGGAGTCCGCAATCATAGGTTGGGTCGTGCTCGTGAATGTCACGGCCGTCTTGTTCATGAGTGTGGTCACAGGACCTTTCACGGAGTCCGCAATCATAGGGCGGGTCGTGCTCGTGTGTTTCACGGTCTTCGTGATCATGAGCGCGATCACGATGCATTTCACGGAGTCCGCAATCATAGGTCGGGTCGTGCTTGTGAATTTCACGGTTTTCGTGGTCATGAGCGTGGTCACGGTGCGTTTCACGGAGTTCGCAATCATAGGTCGGGTCGTGCTCGTGAATGTCACGGTCTTCTTGTTGATGAGTGTGGTTACAATGCATTTCACGGAGGATGAGCACGACGGACGTTGTTGGTGGACGTCCGCCCTTGCCCTCCCCCCCGGGGGGACCATCATAGGCCTTACCAGTGAGGACCACCATGAGGCCTCACACCCCTCGCAGTTTCCATCATTGGGACTGCGGGGGTCGAACCAAATCCCCACAAACCTGGCACCGTACATGCAGTGCCAGGGGCGGTGGTCCGTCTTCCCATCCTACCATCATAAGGGGATGCGAAATCCCTGAAGACGGGACGGGGTGGGCACGAGCGGGCATCATAGCCGGCTCAAAATCAAAAGAGGCATCATAGCCTCATCAATCCAGATTGATCCACTCACGGATTCACTGCAATTGATTTTCATTGAATTCAGTCCATGCGTAGCAAGCTCTCCCCTAATGGATTGTGAACGGGACCCAATCCCCTGCCGGTCGTCTAGTGCCGCCATCATAGGCAGCCAGGGGGGCCATCACAGGCATCTCGCACCCAATTCGGGGCAATCAGAACCGGAACGTTTTGGGAAGAATGACCATCATAGGCCTTCGCGCTCAATTTGATCATTGAACTCAATTTTCTCATCGTCGTCGTCGTCCTCCTCCTCCTTCTCCTCCTCCTGGTCTCCACCCCATGGGAGCCGCGATACAGGCAGTGCGGGCAGCACCTCGGCCTCGATCGGGTCGTGCTCGTGAATTTCACGATTTCCGTGATCATGGGTGTGTTCACGGTGCGTTTCAAGGAGTCCGCAATCATAAGTCGGGTCGTGCTCGTGAATGTCACGGTCGTCTTGTTCATGAGTGTGGTCACAGGGCATTTCACGGAGTCCGCAATCATAGGGCGGGTCGTGTTCGTGTGTTTCACGGTCTTCGTGATCATGAGCGCGATCACGATGCATTTCACGGAGTCCGCAATCATAGGTCGGGTCGTGCTTGTGAATTTCACGGTTTTCGTGGTCATGAGCGTGGTCACGGTGCGTTTCACGGAGTTCGCAATCATAGGTCGGGTCGTGCTCGTGAATGTCATGGTCTTCTTGTTGATGAGTGTGGTTACAGTGCATTTCACGGTGGATGAGCACGACGGACGTTGTTGGTGGACGTCCGCCCTTGCCCCCCCCCAGGGGAGGACCATCATAGGCCTTACCAGTGAGGACCACCATGAGGCCTCACACCCCTCGCAGTTTCCATCATTGGGACTGCGGGGGTCGAACCAAATCCCCACAAACCTGGCACCGTACATGCAGTGCCAGGGGCGGTGGTCCGTCTTCCCATCCTACCATCATAAGGGGATGCGAAGTCCCTGAAGACGGGACGGGGTGGGCACGAGCGGGCATCATAGCTGGCTCAAAATCAAAAGAGGCATCATAGCCTCATCAATCCAGATTGATCCACTCACGGATTCACTGCAATTGATTTTCATTGAATTCAGTCCATGCGTAGCAAGCTCTCCCCTAATGGATTGTGAACGGGACCCAATCCCCTGCCGGTCGTCTAGTGCCGCCATCATAGGCAGCCAGGGGGGCCATCACAGGCATCTCGCACCCAATTCGGGGCAATCAGAACCGGAACGTTTTGGGAAGAATGACCATCATAGGCCTTCGCGCTCAATTTGATCATTGAACTCAATTTTCTCATCGTCGTCGTCGTCCTCCTCCTCCTTCTCCTCCTCCTGGTCTCCACCCCATGGGAGCCGCGATACAGGCAGTGCGGGCAGCACCTCGGCCTCGATCGGGTCGTGCTCGTGAATTTCACGATTTCCGTGATCATGGGTGTGTTCACGGTGCGTTTCAAGGAGTCCGCAATCATAAGTCGGGTCGTGCTCGTGAATGTCACGGTCGTCTTGTTCATGAGTGTGGTCACAGGGCATTTCACGGAGTCCGCAATCATAGGGCGGGTCGTGTTCGTGTGTTTCACGGTCTTCGTGATCATGAGCGCGATCACGATGCATTTCACGGAGTCCGCAATCATAGGTCGGGTCGTGCTTGTGAATTTCACGGTTTTCGTGGTCATGAGCGTGGTCACGGTGCGTTTCACGGAGTTCGCAATCATAGGTCGGGTCGTGCTCGTGAATGTCATGGTCTTCTTGTTGATGAGTGTGGTTACAGTGCATTTCACGGTGGATGAGCACGACGGACGTTGTTGGTGGACGTCCGCCCTTGCCCCCCCCCAGGGGAGGACCATCATAGGCCTTACCAGTGAGGACCACCATGAGGCCTCACACCCCTCGCAGTTTCCATCATTGGGACTGCGGGGGTCGAACCAAATCCCCACAAACCTGGCACCGTACATGCAGTGCCAGGGGCGGTGGTCCGTCTTCCCATCCTACACTCATAAGGGGATGCGAAGTCCCTGAAGACGGGACGGGGTGGGCACGAGCGGGCATCATAGCCGGCTCAAAATCAAAAGAGGCATCATAGCCTCATCAATCCAGATTGATCCACTCACGGATTCACTGCAATTGATTTTCATTGAATTCAGTCCATGCGTAGCAAGCTCTCCCCTAATGGATTGTGAACGGGACCCAATCCCCTGCCGGTCGTCTAGTGCCGCCATCATAGGCAGCCAGGGGGGCCATCACAGGCATCTCGCACCCAATTCGGGCAATCAGAACCGGAACGTTTTGGAAAGAATGACCATCATAGGCCTTCGCGCTCAATTTGATCATTGAACTCAATTTTCTCATCGTCGTCGTCGTCCTCCTCCTCCTTCTCCTCCTCCTGGTCTCCACCCCATGGGAGCCGCGATACAGGCAGTGCGGGCAGCACCTCGGCCTCGATCGGGTCGTGCTCGTGAATTTCACGATTTCCGTGATCATGGGTGTGTTCACGGTGCGTTTCAAGGAGTCCGCAATCATAAGTCGGGTCGTGCTCGTGAATGTCACGGTCGTCTTGTTCATGAGTGTGGTCACAGGGCATTTCACGGAGTCCGCAATCATAGGGCGGGTCGTGTTCGTGTGTTTCACGGTCTTCGTGATCATGAGCGCGATCACGATGCATTTCACGGAGTCCGCAATCATAGGTCGGGTCGTGCTTGTGAATTTCACGGTTTTCGTGGTCATGAGCGTGGTCACGGTGCGTTTCACGGAGTTCGCAATCATAGGTCGGGTCATGCTCGTGAATGTCATGGTCTTCTTGTTGATGAGTGTGGTTACAGTGCATTTCACGGTGGATGAGCACGACGGACGTTGTTGGTGGACGTCCGCCCTTGCCCCCCCCCAGGGGAGGACCATCATAGGCCTTACCAGTGAGGACCACCATGAGGCCTCACACCCCTCGCAGTTTCCATCATTGGGACTGCGGGGGTCGAACCAAATCCCCACAAACCTGGCGCCGTACATGCAGTGCCAGGGGCGGTGGTCCGTCTTCCCATCCTACCATCATAAGGGGATGCGAAGTCCCTGAAGACGGGACGGGGTGGGCACGAGCGGGCTCAATCCAGATTGATCCACTCACGGATCCACTGCAACTGATTTTCATTGAATTCATTCCATGCGTAGCATGCTCTCCGCCACCGTCCCCCCCCCTTCGGTGGGCGAGCGGGGTCGGGGTCTGGGCCTCCCCGTCCCCCCCTTCGGCGGGGCAGGGGGAAGGGGGGCACTGGTTTCGGCGGGGGGTGCTGGACTTTCTTTGATCGGCAGGGAGATAGCGAATGTCTGGGGGAACGAAGAATGACACACACACACACACATGAAAACTCGGAGGTCCGCGGGGACTTCTCGGATCCGCGCTGGGCCCCCCTCGCTGGCGCGCGGAGCGCGCCATGGGCGGCGCCAGATGCGCTGCCAGGGGGGTCCAGCGCGGATCCGAGAAATCCGCGCGGACCTCCGAGTTTCTATGTGTTTGTCATTCCTCGTTCCCTGGGCACTCGCCATCGCTCGGACGTCCGTGCCCCGTGACCTTTTTTCGGTTTCGTGCGGGCATATTTTTCGCAAGACGCCCCGACATGCTCCTCGATGGCCCTCGCCGAAGAGAACAGAGGCACCCGTCCGAGCGATGCCAAGGGAGACGGGGCGGGCCCCCCTTCCAAGGGCTGGGGAGGCCTCCGGCCGCCTGAGAGGTGTCCGAAGCCTGCCCCGAAGGCGCAGCACACTCCTCAGAAGGTGCGAGGTCTTCGGACAAGTTTCCCGAGCCTCCCGCGAAGACACAGGAATCTCCTCGGACGGCGCGGGGTGCTTCTGGCAAGCCCCGCCGTCTTCTGAGAAGGCCTGCCCCTTCTCGTTTCCCCCCCTGGGCGCGCCGCCGACAGAGACATCCCGCCCAGCACAGGCAGGAGTTGCCCCAAGTCCAGTTCAGAGCTCGAGCTCCGAACTCACAGTTTATGCAAATATTCAGAGCTCGAGCTCGGGGCCCGAACTCGAGCTCTGAGCTCCCCCCCGCGCTCGCCACCGAGCAGAGTAGCTCCCCCCAGGGAAGCACACGCTCCGCCCTGGCATGCCTCCCTCACCCCACAGCCGCACCCCACACGGCCTGAGCTTTAGGTCGGGCATGCCCCCTTACAGGCGGATTTTGGACGACAAGTTAAAAACACCCCAAAAACAGTCCAGACAAAATTCAAAAATAGTCAACAAATCGTCCCCGGGTCATTGTTTGACTATTCCTGACTTAACCTGAGCTCTGAGCCTCCGAGAGAACTCAGAGGTCGGGCTCGGGGCCCGAACCCGTCGCGAC